ACATAGGTACTGGGAACTGAACTCAGGTCCTCTGAAAGTACAGCACGCTGTACTTTACCTGATGAGCCATCCCTCAAGTCTGCATCATCTCTTCTTGTTTGTGCTAGCTCAAGGGTAGGAAGGCATTCAGTGTCCTCTCTAGCCTCATCTCTAAGGGAAGTTCAGGAAGTCAGCGAACAGTCAACATCCACTTCTGACTTAGAAGCTAAGCAAACAGGCAGAAGCCAGAGATGTAGCTCAGTGGTAAAACTCTTACCTGGTGTGGTGAGAGCTTGGGATGAGTCCATGTCTACACTTATTCACACTACCCACAACAACAGTGCAAGATAGTTTGGTTGACATTAAGATGTTATTCTGGAGGCTGGAGAGATGTCTCAATAGTCAGGAGTGTGTACTACTTGGGATCCAAGTTTGGTTCCCAACATGCATGTCCAAAAATTCCTAACTGCCTGTAATTCAAGCTGCAGGGGATCTAGCATCACTGGCCTCCAAGACGCCCTACACTCACGTGCATATATAACATAATTTAGGATAAAGTTTTAATTTAGCTATTTTTGTGTATGGGTGTTTTCCCTGAGTGTATGTCTGTGCGCCAAGTATGTGGCTAGTGCCCAAGGAAGGCATCAGATCCCCTGGAACTTGAATCATACATGTGAGCAGGGCATGTAGATACTTGGAATCAAACTGGGTCTTTTGCAAGAACAAGTGCTATTAACATCTGAGCCATCTCTCCAGCCTCTGAAGCAGTTTTTATTTTAAAGATTTAACATTTATTACTGATAAAAGTGATATTAGAGGGTATGGTTGACATAGAAACACTTTAAGAGTCATGGGCATGGTGGCCAATGTCTGACACAGCACCGAGCTTCCCAGAAAGTCACCATCTCAGAGATCTTCCTCCTGCTCTGGAGAAGGATGATTGACAAGTGGAGGAAGCTGAGAGAGCTACTATGTTCCTCCAAATGCTACCTGTCTGAGGAGCAGCGAGGGAAACTACTTTACTTGCCCTTCTTGACAGAGAAAATGAAGAAGTGATTTCTGCCATAGTATTACATATGGTTATTACAGAGTTTAAAACAAAACACAGTAGTCTGGAATGCAGACTCCCAAAGCTCTCATCCCACCATCGAGGTCCTGGGCTGGCAAGGCCAGTTGGGCAGGCAAGGCCAGTCAACTGAGGAAGTTGTGGTTTAGAAAATTCATGAAGCAATGAAGCAAGGGAGTTGCTTTAACATTCTCTCTCCCCCCCCCACTCCCTCCCTTCTTGCTCTTTACACTCAGAAAAGCAAGAGGGGTTCTCAAAAGGGAATGCTGAACAAATACAAAGCACAAAGAATTCTATTTAGGAGAAAAATACCAAAAAGTTGTAGATATTCAGTGATGTTCAGACTAAGTGACTCTTTGAATACACTTCAGTATTGTGTAACCTTGCCTTGAACTTTGACCCTCAAGCCTCACAAATGCTGGAATTACAGGTGTGTGCTATCAAGTCCAGTGTCTCTACTTCTGCAGTTTTAGAATCCAGAAATGCAGGTGCTGTTTTGTGCTTTTGAAGACTAGTTTCCTCCACCACCACCACCACCCCCCTTAAAACTAAGCAATGAAAGAAACTCTGGCAGGGAAGTTACTGGAAACACACAGGAACAGGATTGGGGGAAGCCCCGCCCAATTGATGAACAATAGCAATTCCATTGAGTACAACAAAGGAAATAACAAGCTAGGTTGATAACACTGGGCTCTGGGTGCCTTCTACCAGCGAGGTCACACTCACCGCCTACTATGCCTCGGCCAATCCTACCATTGACTTGTTGGAGCAAGATTGCAGGTTGTGTGGACACCAGGGGAAAAGCCCAGAGGGAAGAGGAAGCTGCGAGCCTGCAAGCCCAGTGTTTCTCTTCCCTGTACTGAGTCATCTTTTGGTAAGGCACCAGGAGAACACCTGCCTGAGTTTCTGAAACATGGAAAACCCCAGCAGCCTGGACCCCTGATAGATTTTATCCGGGATAATCCCTCTCACCACCCCTCCCCATCGTCATTTCTAACTCTAATGGGTTTAGATCCTTTCCTCTCTCGCTCTAAGAAGAGACCAAGTCCACAGTTCAGTATGGCTGTAATGAACTTACGCAGCATTGCTATGAAATCAGAAAGTTTAAAAGTTTCCTAATTCGGCAGCAATAGCTAGTTTGTATTCCTCCCCCCCCCCCCAGAATGTTTTCATTAGTGAGGAATGGATGCTGAGCCAGGCGTGGTGGTACATGTCTTTAATCCCAGCATTCGGGAGGTACAGCCAGGCAGATCTCTGTAAGTTTTAGGACATCTCTACATAGTGAGTTCCATTAACAGCCAGGGCTATGTGGAGAGACCCTGTATCAAAAATCCAAAAGATAAAAGAGTGGAAGCTAGAACTGTTAATAGTGCTTCATTCCCATGATGCACTGGGCAGCTTCCAGGAAACCAAAGTCCTTGGAAACATGGACAAAAAAGTTGGGCCTTCAGGGAATTGACTGAAGTACCATCAACGTGGATGGAACCTGAAGCTTAAATTCAGCTCAGCTTGGAAACCTCAGGCAGGGTTGGTAGACTGATGGCCTCAGGCAGGGTTGGTAGACTGATGGCCTCAGGCAGGGTTGGTAGACTGATGGCCTCAGGCAGGGTTGGTAGACTGATGGCTCTCCTCCCCCTCCCCACATTATGTGGATTATGATACATTAGTATCCTTAGTTGATGAAGTAATTTTTTTTAACCGGTTAATTTTGATAAAGAACTAGATCCTTACATAAAAGCAAGTATTTAATGAGCATTTACTGTGTTGGAATTATGCTGTCACAATAGAACTACGGTTTACCATTGTTTACTGGATCAGTGAAGAATTACAATACAAAGAAGCTAAGCAAAATCCCCATTTTATGTGTTTATAAAAAGATAAAGAGCAGAGAGATATGTTTTGGTGGGTGTGTAATGAGGTATGGGGAAAGGGGGTGTCTCAGCGGGCCCATGCCAAGGCATCCCTTCCCCCTGAGGGACCAGCCACACACAGTATAGTATAGAATACAGTTTATTCAGAGCATGGGGGGGGGAGTTAAGAGGGCAGTAGACTCAGAGAGAATGGGAATAGAGAAGTAGAGGAGTAGAGGCTGGTCATGAGCACGTGGACAGGGGGGGAGAGAATGGGGAGAGAGTGGGGAAGGGGCAAGGGGACAGAGTGGGAGCAAGAAGGCAAGAGACCAAGAAGGCAAGAGAGCGAGGAGGGGGCAAGCAGCCCCTTTTATAGTGTGTCAGGCCTACCTGGCTATTGCCAGGTAACTGTGGACGGAGCTTAGACAGAATGCTAACACCATTAGTCCTATTTACTCCCTCCAAGATACTTAGGCCAGAGGAAGTAAACCTATAGTGAGAATTCTGGAATTTTGGTTTCTTTAAAAACATAGGAATATTATAAGACTGTGTCTTTCTTTTAGTCCCAGGTGTGGCAATATGGGTCTTCTTCAGACTGTCTGTAGCAACTGACTATGATTTGCCTCATGCTCTAGTAGAGGCATGGTTTTGTCAACTGCATTTGGTTTCTATGATTGTGCTACCTTTGGAATTCTGGAAACTTTTCAGAGGGTATATAAGTGCTGGAACCCGAATAGGTGGGGTTTACTCTTTCTTAGTAGTCATTCTCAGAAGAAACAAAAGGAAAGAAATTAGATTCCGG